ATCCGGACACGTAAACAACCGAACACGTATATTGTACTACCTCCGCAAAGCATGGCGTCCGGCCGCCCGCGATCAAAAACATCCGGGATTGAATCTAAACAGGAAAACATCCGGACTTAAATAGATCTTTTATACTACCTCCGTGGCACGTTGGGGTTGGCCGATCTCCACTTATGTAAAAAAAGGGCACCGTAGTGGTATAATAGGAATACAAGAGGACCCTAATATAATCCTTATTATCCAAAATATAGTCACTATTACTGGGTGGGGGGGTCCACTACATGAATACTACTCATCTGAAGTTCCAATGTCCACTCGAGCAGCAAGCAAAATGTTTAAAGATGTTTGGACATTCCAGAGGAAGGTGCTTAAAGATGTTTAAACAACTTCCTGCTAAAAAAGGACCCGTACCCGCGTTATGCTTAAGCAGCTTAAACATCTTTAAGCGTTTAAACTTTGAACGTGTGTAGCCTGGCCGTTCCTATCAACTAAGTGGTAGCTGCTACTCATTTGTGGGCTTTAGGGTTTAGGATTTGGGGCTTGGGCTGAGACATGCGGGCTGTTAAAACATCATGGTGCTTTCACGTTTCACTAAACATCCTACCCCAAAAAAAGAACCCGGGGGGTGCGTTGCGGTCTCAGTTTGGGGCCTAGCGCTTAGGGTTTTTCCTTAGATGAAGGTTCAGGGCTTACGCTGCTGGTACAAGAAGCATGGCTACTCAGGATGAAGACCGAAACTGGGACGTAGGGCTTTTGGGGCTTAGGGTTTAGTGTTGAGGGTTTAGCCAAGATGGTCCAAGCAGCGTCGAATGCCCCCTGCTCCTGCAACAGGAAGGCTGGGCTATGTAACTATAGGGTATATAGAGCCCAGTTCCCAATACTTAGGTAACTGGAGCCCTAGGGAATTATGTCCCACCTTACAATCTGCGTTTGAAAGCATCGAACCGAAAGCCCAGGTCTGATCAGGTGTCCCGTGTCTGGAGCTTTCTGGAGATGCTGAAAAGGGTTTAGGGTTTAGGGGTTTAGGGTTTAGGGGTTTAGGGTCTAGGTTTTGCATGACCTCAGTTCACTGTGGTACCAGAGTTCCCAAGGTTTAGGGTATCTGGGGTCATGCAGGATTTTTAGCATCCACCGCTGTCACAGGTTTACCTTTGGGGCTTGTCTGAGCCTTATGGAACACACCCGAACATGTGAGAAGGCTTGCGCTCTGAACAGGTAGGCTTTTGCACATAAGCCAGGCTAGACACACAGGCTGAACCCCGGCCAGCGTTCGGAGACTTTTCAAGACTGAAGGTTGATGGTCAGCCTCAAGTACGTAGATCGGCTATAGCAAAACGGGATAGGGATGGAGGATCTATAAGGGCCAGAGTATAAGGCCAAGTCCCCAAGCACTCTGCAAAAATGCCCTAACCGCTAGTTAATAACCCACACGCCAAGTCGAAACCTCGGGCTCTGAACCCCATCACCCAAATCACAAAATCTGAGCCCTCGCACCGAGGTGGTAACTCCTCAACCCTAGACCCGACGCCCTAGTCTCACTCATAATGCGCTCCCTTCGTCAATATGTACACACCACACCTCTTACAGTAACAATCCCTATAAAGTTCCGTCCTCCAACAAAAGCCATATGTATCGTTAGCGGGGCGGGGTGGGGTGTTAAAATTGGGGGAGTGGACTACACGAAGCAGAACCGTCCTGGCAGGCCCGTGTCGAAGAGGATCAGTCCTGCCATCGCAGAGGAGGTTCAAGCTCAGAGACTGGGATTAGGGGCTTTAGGGTTTAGGGTTTAGGGTTTAGGGTTTAGAGTTTAGGACAGAGATGTCAGGAGAAGGGTCATTGTGTCTGAGAATAAGGGATACAGGCCCTAACCATTTGGTCTAGAGATTTCCGCCTCTATTGGATAGCAGACTACTAGGATGGTATGTTCAAACCGCCCAAATCCAAAACAGTTACGGGCCTGAACTCCCCTACGGCCAAGCCCTCAAAAGCCAAACTTCTCGACCCCTCCTACCTGGGAATGTCTTCATAACAAATATCCGCAAGAAGAACGCCCACCATCCCCCAGTGATCCCCAAATCCCCTAATTAAGCATAGCCCACCCCTTTTTCAAGCGCCATCTCCCCTGCGCGTCTCGGCGGGGACCCCACCGAAACCATCTCCAAGACTGCTGATTCTAAAAATGCCATAATCTGGGTTGCCGCTTTGGAACCTAAACTAAGTTACCATAATGGGGGAGCCCTATGATTTGCTATATACCCATGTTCCGGTAACTTAATCTAGGTTCCTTCACAGCAACCCAGTACTGTAATTCCCGTAGTATAACGTACTCAGGACAGGATTTCTGGGCTGAAAACAGGAGGAGCGGCCAACATCATGGATCTTCTTACGTTTAGGGTTTAGGTTGGGTACTGCCCCCACACAGTAACAGTCTATATTAGGGGTCCTATTAAGGGCTATATATAAGTATATTGTATTTAGTATCCAACTGTTAGTGAGGGGGGGCAGTACCTAAGGTTTAGGGTTTAGGGTTTCCTGTTTGGGTAGCCCTTAACTATCCCTAAATAATAATAGGAATCAAGGAGGAGCCGGGGAGGTAGCATGGGGTGGTAAGGGAATCCACCTTAACCCAAAAGCCTTCTGGGCCTTAAAAAGGGTCTTGGGCCGAAGTTTTACATTCTCCGGGAGCCTAGATAAACTGAAGCCTCAACCCTAAACTTAACCCTAACTAACTAAGCCCTAAACCCTAAACCGCGTGGCTAAACTGCAAACAAGAATCGTGACCAGCCAGGACCGACCGGAATGCAGCAGACGTTTAGACCTGGGTTTAGGGTTTAGCATGTTTGTGACCCAAAGGGCTCGGGTAGCAGGTTTTGGATTTATGGAGAGTGGGGGTTTACGTTATGCCCATTGCGGTTATACAGGGATAATTCGGGATAATGGAAAAGAAAAAGGAAACTACTACAATGGAGTGATACGGGGGTTTAAGGTTTGGGATTTAGGGTTTGTGGGTTTAAGGGTTTAACGCTCTCGGGTTCCAGGATGCGATGCCATTTTTGGGGGCCCAAAGGGTTTCAGGTTGGGACTAAAAGGCTTGCGGGTTTCGTGCGACATGTCATCTTTCGGATTCTGGAGGTTTACGGTCCTCTTTGTGTCCAAACCGCTCCGGGGGTTTATAGTCCCCCTTGAGTAGCTAGAATATGGCTTTGGGCATATTATAAAAAGATCCCCATATACCACCTATTCTATCTAGAGGATGTAGAGCCTCGCCCAGCAGTCCTCAAAGGGCGATTCCAGGAGGGAGTGTTGTTCAATACACAGGGCCCCAACACGTTCTAGGGAGTCCAGAGACATGTGGGGATTACGCGGAATACCACACAGGGAATGTGTCGAACAAAGCAGAAATCCTGGATCCAACCATACTTTGAATAGCTTTGGGTTCTGGGCGCTAACCCTGAAACTGTAAACAGGGTTATGAGGGGACACTCTTCCTAATTCGTTCCCACTGCTACATTAAGTTATGACAGTTGAGGGTGCTTGTGCTTCTCCGCAAACACGCCAGGTGACGGAAGCGTCGTTTGCCGTCCTTGCTTGCACTCTGGATTTCATTTTGCGCTTCTTGCTACCCAGAGTAGGCAACATGATGGCCCCCAAAATGCCCCAAGCCTCAAACAACAGCCCAAGAGGCTATTGTTCTGAGTATTGTTGGGGTTCAGTTAGCCCCGTTGAAAGATTGGGGCTTTTGGGTTGCTGCTCATGGTGTGGAAAACGGTAAGACTGTCATTAACTGGCACTGGTAAGGTGGCAAGAAGGAACCGTGCTTCCCACTAAGAATTGCAACTGAGCAGATCCTAAGGCCCCGCGGTTTAGAGTTTAAGGTTTAGGGTTTAGGGCCCTCACAGGCAACAGCACCCAACGTCCACGTCCTTATTCTTTACCGCTAACACAATATTTCTGGGTTCCATGTCGCTGAAGCAGCCTCCCCAAAAGCTTCTTAAAGCTAGCTAGGGGAAACCTGAGGGGGGGAAGTAGGGGGCTGTTAGTACGCTAGTGTAGAACCTAGGAAATATGACAGTTTGTAAGGACAGAGGAGGATCCCTATCCTAAACCCTGAATTACTTTGACCTCCAGCCCTGGACCCTAAATCACAACTTGCCAAACCCCAAAGCATTCACCCTTAACCCTACTCTTGAAACTCTAAACCATAACTTTGTACGACCTAAACCCTAAACTTAAAATTGAACCCAAACCTTCCTAAACCCTAACTTTCAAAATCCTAAATACCTAATTCTTTGCCAAATCTGAACTCTATAAAGATACATTAAACCCAAACTTTTTACCTGCTTTCTGAAAACCTGAACCCTACCTGTCAAACCCTAAACCCTTAGTCTCTAAACCCCCAGCCCTAAGCTTCTCAAACCCTCAACCCCCAGAAAGTTTAGGATCTAGGGTTTAGGGTTTAGGGTTAGGGTACCTCAGAGGAACCCTAAACCTTACCTGTCCAAGCTGACACCCTAACGTTCCGAATCCTAATCTCTAACTTTGGAACACCTCAACCTTGCCTGTCAAAGCCTGGCTGTAACTTTCAAAGCCCTCGGCCTTAACTTTCTAAACCCCAAACCCTAAACCTTTTAAACCCTGAACCCTAACTTTCAAAACCCTAAACCCCAATTAGAGTCCTAACCTTCTAAACCGCAAACCCTAACCTTCAAAACCGTATAGCCTCACGTTCTAAACCCCTAACTTTCTAAACCCTGATTGAGAGCGGAAACCAGGCAGTCCGAGCTGCGGCGTCCGTGCCGCGACGGGCGGCAAACTTCCTAAGCTTTCCCAGCTTGTATAGGGTTTAGATTGGGGGTTAGAGTCTGCGGCTTAGAGCTTGGGGCATCGGGGTTCAAGGAGGGGTGCCTTTTTCTAGTATCCAGCCAAAATCTATAATGGGGTGCATCAGTAGAAGCTTTGCAATGGGGTGCATTAGTAGAAGCTTTGCAATGGGGTGCATTAGTAGAAGCTTTGCATATCCATAGAATGGACAATATCAAAGTGCTGTATCCAATTGATACTTGCTAACGGCTCAAGGGAGGGATATTTTCTACTACGAAACAGCAATCTGAAACCTTGAACGCAAATCATCAGCAACAATAACGAAAGGTGGGGATGGGGTATAACCTGGTAATAGCTTGAGTTTTTCCTTGTTTGGTTTGAACCAAGGGAGATTTCTTCTTGGGTTTTATTATACCCAAAAAGAGAATATAATCTTTGCTGGGCTGCAATCTCCCTTAGACTACTGCTCTAGGACGCTACCTGTAGGATCTAGTAGCTAGGATGCAGGATTTAAGGTTTAGGAATTTGTAGCTCTTAGGGCGTACCGCTTAAAGTTGAGGATGAGGGGTGAAGGATGAGGATTGCTAACAGGGGTCCCTTCTTGAATATGTACATGCCTGAATTTGGGGGCGTGTTGTGCCCATGTCTACTGAGAGGCGCAAGACACTCCTGCAATTTTACCTTTGGTTAGCAAATATTAGCTAGGAATGAAGGAATGGATCCTTGTGGTAGTACCTATATAACCCATTATAGTTGTTTCCATGTTCTTTTCCATTCCTTCATTCCCACCCTAAACCCCAAACCCTAAACCCTATAGTAGTTTCCACTTTCTTTTCCATTCCCAGCTAACCAAAGGTAAGCAATTCAAGTCGGACGAGCCGCTTGTACTCCTCCGAGTCATCGTCGCTCAGGAACCTTGTGATCTTTTGGGTGCCCCACTTGAGTAGTGTAGCTATATAGGGATCAGAATAGGGTTATAATATTGGGGTTATATAGGGATAATGGAAAAGAAAATGGAAAGTACTTTATAGGGTTTAGGGTTTAGGGACTTGAGTAGTGTTTTTTTGGTGGTTGAACCTAGTAAGATTAGATTCCTGAAGCAAAATACTAAACCCCAAAAGGAGGATACAATCTTACTCTCTATATTGGGTACCATAGTATCCCCAAATGAAATACTACTCACTTGGAGGGTCAAGGGGACGTAGTAAGTATAGTATACTGTATAACCCCTATAAGCCATATAGTAACCCTACGTATCCCCATGATTAACCTACTTACTAAGTCCCCCCTGACCCTCTAAGTAGATGCAGGTCTGCTAAAGCCAGGTAATGGGGTCCAGTTTATACCCTAAACACGAAGCCTGAAAGGGTCTTTCCTAGGGGGGCTGAAGCATGATGCAAGTGTTTGAAGGATAAGCATAGTGGTTTGGGGAATGTTGTAGTAGAACTATATAAACATACTTTGTGGGACTAAGATTTATGAGTATGTAAGTGTACTATGTGGCACTAATATTGCTAAGAATACAGGGTTCTACACCGCGCAGATGGGTTGCTGCATGCTGCAAAGTGGCCCTGGATTTAAGGGTCGGGACTTGGAGTTACAAGCCAAGCCTAATCCCACGCCCGGGGATCTAATCCACACATGTTGTTTGGCACACTATTCCCATTCTGCGACACAAGATCGATGGCCCTGCAAGTGCAAGATTTTGAGGACTGGCCACTTAAAATAACTTCGGAACCTGAAATTAAGCCTGTTTGGGAGTGTTCTAGGCCAACACTTGGGGCGAGGTGGGGTGAGGTCGCTATCTCTTGCACAGCAAACAGGCCCGCCAGAAACCTGAAAGAAGCCTGACCCCCAAACCTGAAATGCGAAACCCTTGAACCCTGAGACCCAAAGCGTAAACCCTAAACTATAATCCCCAGCGTCCCCTGAAGTCCACCCAAACATCTAAATATTGGAACTAGGAACTCATGTTGGATGGTCCTCTTTGGGCATTGGATCCACCAAACCCTCAACCCCTAAACCGTAAACCCTGAACCCTAAACCCCAAATACTTGGACCCTTGGGGTTCAAAACAGCGGCTCACCAAGGTAGAAGAAAAAGAATGGCGAGCGAAGCGAGAACTTTGCCTCGCGCTTCAGGCCTCGCACTGCGTTTAGGGTTTAGGGGTTAGGGTTTAAGGTTTGGGCTATTTAAGGTTTAGGGATTAGGGTTCCTGATTTTATAGGGTGTATAGGTTTAGAGTTTATACAAGAACCTCTGAGGGAGAGCTGTAGATTGGTATGGCTTTAGGGACTATGGTTCCTCTAATTATGACTCTTATTGCTAGTCTTGTTACTACTACTACTACTACTACTACTACTACTACTATGACGACGTACTATGATGGTTAATAATAGTACCTTTTTCTGTTATTGCTACTATTGCTATTCTTGCTTGTAGAATAACTGTAGGGCTATTACAAGGTAGTTCTTGGCATGCAAAATAGACTAGACACGGTTGAGAGTTTGGGGTTCTGGGTACAGATAGGGGGGGTTCCCAAAATTAGGGGTATCTTTTTGGGGGTCTCTATAATAAGGACTATAATATATTTGGGGTCTTTATTGGGGTCCCTTTATTCAGGGAAACTACCACATGTCTTAAAACGGTCCATGTGATGGTTCCGTAAAAACGGCAATCACTCAACTGTCAGAATGCTAACGCGGGTGAAGCACCATGAGACTTCATCACGATTTTAGGACACCGTGGCCATGAACATGGTGGCAAACATGACAACGAGCAATACTCCTGAAAGTGCTACTGATGCCACACATACTCACCACAATAATTCGGTGGCCTCTCAAAAAAATGACAAGGACTTTTTGAGAAACACCGAGACCTAAACCCGAACCCCATAAGGAGGACCATGGGTCATTTCAACTACCTGTAACATGTTACGAGCCTGCATATAGCTGGATAACCCCATCTAGGGGAATTGGGGGGATGCTAAATAGGCTTATAACCCACTCATAAGTATCTAGGGTCCCAAGGTGAGGAAACATAATGTCCCTAAACCTGTAAAAGCAGCCGAAAAGGCTAGTTTTCTACATACTTTTGGGGTCCAGATGCGCGCTAAGCCCTATCAGCCCGCTCCAAGGCTCGTAGGATCCATGCGCTGGATTTCTGAGCCCTAGGTACCCTCTCCCACACAGGCATTAAACCCCGTAGTTCAGATTTAGAGTTTAGGGCGTAAGGCTTATAAAGGGCAAAGATCTTTATTGCGACCCCTTTAGGGCTGGGAGATACCTGCACCCGAAAATCAAGCTTGACGCTCGCCTAATTGACAGATTGTAACGAACAGACGAACAGCGTACACAAGTAGTTCAAGGTTATCTAACCCTAAGGGTCCATGTGCCTCGCAATCTGGTACTTAGGATTTCGGTATCAGTAACCGTAGTACAGGTTTCTGGCAAGTATGTGATTATTGGGTACTTGAACCCTTAGGACAAGGCGAAGGGTTCGTACGGCCCAGATCTTGGGAGGTTTGCGGGCTCCATATAAGCCCAATAACCCTTAACGGTAGACCCTAGATATTCCAACCATAACCCTAAACCCTAAACCCTAAACCCTAAGTTATTCTAAACCCCCCCCAAAGCCAGAGACCCAAAACCCAGACTGTCAAGGTGCCCATGGTGCGGTCCCAAAAGGTGAAATTCAGAAGGTCGCCAATCCTTTGTATACGGTTTAGGGTTTAGGGTTTAGGGCACGGTTTAGGCTTTATGGGTTTTAAGGCTATGGGCTTAAGAGGTTTAGGGTTTATAGTGTTTGGGGCTTATGCGTTTTAGGGCTTAGCGTTGCCAATGCTTTGGAGACTGCAAGGACAGCATGGCTGACCCACACCGCTTCGGGCGTTGGGAATGGATTCCTATAAAATAGCACCTATGTAATCCTTAATCCTAGTAAGTCTACGGGTTTGGGCCCCCAACTTGTGGGACCCACCTATAATCCATAGGTCGAATAAAGGCCCAAAATCCCTGAAAACCGCCCAACAACCATTATTCTACATACTTACTACTTTTAGGGTGTAGGTAGGGTTCAGGGCGGGTACATGCATGCGAGTATCTACCGTTAGCGAAATCTTAGTACAGGAAGAGAATGCATATTTGAAAGCTTCTCTCAATTTTTCCCAGTACTCTACGTGAGCGGGAACCTCATGATCCAGTTGTGATCCGGATATATTCCCTGGGTCATCTAGGATAACACGCTTTTGAACCGCAAAACACCCTAAACCCTAAACTTGTGGTATTCTGCCCCTAGCTGACGCACTAAGACCAATAACAAATGTTAGCCTACGTCCCGAAGGCCGATAGTAGGGTTTAGAGTTTAAGGTTTAGGGTTTAGGGTTCAGGGTTTAGGATTTAGGATTTAGGGTCAACGAATATAGTCCGCCCAGGTCCGAATAAAGTATACGTACAACCACTTCTAAACAATTTGAAAAAACCTCAGTTATCCTCATTTCCGATCTTTTTACTAGGCCCACCTGAACCAAAATTGTGCTAAGCATCGCACTGATGGGCAGGCCAGCAAGTTTGAAAGCCTATTAAGTCCTGCATGACGCGGCAACTGTAAGTGCCCACAAGGTCTACAGCTTTCAAAGAAGTTGACTCAGGAATCCTTAGCCTCTAAACTCAAAGCACCCAAACCCTAGGTTATATTGATATACGTATATATATATATATGGCGTTTAGGGTTTAGGGTGTTGGGCATGAGTGGTTGCATCGAATAAGATTTGAATATTTTGTCTTCAAATCCGGGGCTTCTTTTCCGGAGCCGCCTTAGTGAGCATTTCATGACATCTTGAGGGCACATACGTGGAACCCCTATGTTTAGAAGCAGCGCCCTGTTGTTCAGAAAGAGCAGTATAACCAAGAGGAGAAAATAACAATACCGAATATTGCACCCTAAACCCTAAACCCCAAACCCTAAACCCTTAACTTGCAGACTGTAGAGGGATCCTTTGTTGTAGATTCGACTCACCCTTGAACCCTCAACCCTCAACCCTAAACAGTAGTTTAGGGTTTTGGGATTAGGGTTTAGGGTTTAGGGTTCCATGTTCTTTTCCATTCTCCCAATATATCCCCTATATAACCCCTATATAACCCCATATACCCCCTAAACCCATCTGCAAACAGGGGGCTCAGAAGACTTCTTGGTCTCTGGAATCGTCATCGAAATGGGGATGGCATCATCGCGGGTTCCTCGCGCAAAGCATCTCAAGAATGTTTTTGATGGTGGTATATGGTGGTTGAACCTTGGATCCTGCTCTCTCCCATTAACAGTCTATATGTCAGGGGTCATATTAAGGGCTATATATAGTTATATCATAAATTTTCTCCAGCCGTTAATGATTGGGGCAATACCCAAGTTGGGCCTGGTAAGATGGGGCCCTGCTTACCTCAAAAGAGGAACTCATCTGAAAAGAGGAACTCATATTGCTCTATGTTTGGGACTGTAGTAATCCCACATACAACTGTGCTCATCTGTGTGACTGGGGGCGAACGGTTTGTTAGAAGCGTACATGTTCATCATTTTTCTGGATATCCTGGCGAGTCATAATTCGGGTTGTAGACTTCTGCAAAGGGGCAGTTTGGGGTACAGACTTTTGTGGAGCGGCATCCATCATGTATCATGGAAAACGATTAGTCCGCTCAAGTTAGCCTTTGCAGCCCTAGACCCCAACCCCTCAAACCCTTAACCCCTTAAACCCTACACCCTGGACCCCTTAAAGCCTAAACCTTGGGGTTGCGTTTAGGGTTTAGAGTCCCTCTGGGTATAATTCTTCTAATTCATCATCCTGAATTAAGGTCCTTCTGTGTATATTTTCCCACAAGTAACTACAATTAGGGATGAGCGCGTTTGAGCTTTCAATAGCCTGCCCAGCTTGATTCCGGGCCTTCATAACGAGAACTGGGTTTCAGGGGGGGTATGCCGTCTAGTTCTAGGGGATTTAAGTCCAAACCCTACACCCTAAACCCTAAACCCCAAGCCCTAAAACCCTAATAAACCCTAAACCACACCCTAAACTCTAGGTCTAGGGACTTGAACGTCTTCCTCATTATTCAGAAAATCCACCTGAGGCCCAGGCTGGGCCAAAGCTGTTTGGGTTTAGGATTTATGGTAGTGAAATGCTCACACCGTAGAAGCCTGAATAATACGCAAAGTTGGGGGCTTCCTAAAATCAGGGGTCCCATTTTGGGGGTCCCAGGAAAAAGGATTACAATATTTGGGGGGTCTATATTGGGTTCCTGTATTTTGGGATGTTGGTCACTTACAACCCCTCTGCAAAAAAAAAAGTATAGTGTGCCCCAAAACAGCATTTCATTGAACAGGCCGCTATGTTACAGTCCCATAAAAACCCGGTTCCATGTCAGGTTGCGTTTGATCTTCCCGCTGCTTATCCTTGATGCTACCCTCAAACCTAACCGTAAACCGCAAGCCCTAGAACCTCAACTGTGTTCAACAAGCCCCTCCATTAGCAGAGCCCTCCTACACCTCAGGCGGGATTTAGGGCTTTAGGATTTGGCTCCTCAGGGCTTAGGATAAGCTATGAAAATAAACCGACTGGGGATGGCTTGGGACATGATGTGGCTGATGAGGGTTATAGGTATGCGTCCTTAGACTACGCGGTTTAAGGGTTTGTGGTTTAGGACTGCCAAGACCTGCTCAGTCCCCAATAAAGATCTTCCCAACTTTGAACGCACCCTGCTCACGTCCTTGAAGGCCATGATGCGCGAAAGGAACGTGGGACACATCAATAAGATTCTCGAGGAGGCTATCGTAACCTGGATTTGGAGATGGGAACTCCTTGAACGATGAATGCCTTCATGGGAATCCCTCCTGCACCACTTGCGGAGCGTTTCAGAGACCCTTTTGAACATGTCCTACATGGCTTGGGCTTTAGGGTTGTGGATTTATATCATAAATCATAGACTTTAGGGCTTCGAGTGGCCATGTTGGCAGAAATCGAACTACAACCCAAGCCTTACAAGCCATCGTTTACACATTTGTACATTCTGTACGGAGTAGTGGATGAAATTGTATTTCAGAACATGTTCAGAAGTACTTAGGCATCCATCGGTAGATATCAGGTGGGCGTTACGTCAAACAAATACTTGAAAATCTAGTTTGGGGTATTGAGACCCTGCATTACAACCCATGACCCTGCCCGTACATACTTGTTCGAAAGAACCATGCTAAACCACTCAGCATCCTTAGGTAGACATTAACAGCAGGGTCGGCAGCTACTAAATAAGAACAGCGTTTGGGATACATCGCTTTGTACAAGGGTTACAAGGGAGTCATATGCTTTGATAACTCTTCAGGCTTCTGCATTGCATCATCCAGAATGTAAGCCCTTACATACGGCGAGCTTCCATTTAATTGTCCTTCGTCTTTTAGACTGGATTCTCCGTTGTTGGGCTCATATCCTACCTGGACCATGAAGGGAAGACTCTTTGCTCCTTCCTCGCTTAATAAGAAACTTTTGGCGACCCCATCCCCCCAAAATTGACCGCAGCATAACCGTTCGACAGCTACAGGATCCCGCACGTTGGGGGTTGGGGTTAACAAAACCTTCCGACTATCATCTGGCCTGAATCGAGAATCCAAACTAAGTCAGGAGCTCACGCTAATTCTATACAAAGTTGTTCTAACGCCTCTTCTCAATTTCTTGCGTGGCCTTGTTTAACGTAGATTCTTGAGGGCCAGCCCATATAACGGACCCCGGAAAAATTCTACTTTCAAGGGGTTTATCAGGGAATCCTGGGGCTCTTTAAACCCTAAACCCTGAACCCTACGCCCTAACAACCCTAAACCCTAAACCCTAACAAATCTCCCTGCTTGGGACCGCCAGGCGGCCACCATAACCTTTTTTTCTCTTCAGGGGACGGTGAGTGTATGGGCCAATCCCGATCTGGATTGTAGGAATTCGGTAAGAGAATGACTTTCACCCTCAACTTATGTTGCCTGAAAGTCTTTCTCATCGGTTCTGAGTATAACCCAGCATGAAGTCACTCTATACCGGAATAAGGAGTCCACCTTGTTCGCCTATTCCAAGTGAAGAGACCACGAGTCTGCATAACCGTAAACCCCAAATCCCAAACCCTAAACCTCAGGTCTTAAATCCTAAGCCCCAAACTCTTAACCCCCCATCTTAAACCTTCAACCCCAACCCCTTGGGGTAGATCTGAAGAATGAGCGGCCGTAAGGCAAGTCTCGGGTGTAGCTGCCGAGGACCTCCATCTCTTCCAAGTGCGTGCCTGTAGGCCCAAGGTATGTAGGGTTAAGGGTTCACAGAAGGGTTTAGAGTTTAGGGTTGGCCGAAGGTCTTGCGGTTTAGGGTTGTTCGTTCTGGGTCTCAAGATTAGGACGGTGTTCCAGGTAGCATGTAAGCAGCGTCGCTTGGTTAGTGAGTGCCTTTCCAAGAAAGCTGTAACCGAATGATGGTATAACCATACAATACATCGAGGAATGCAGGATCACCTTTTAGATGCTCCATGCGATTTAGGGTCCATGCCCGTTGACCCCTTCGATTCACATGATCAATCCCAAAACCCCAACATGCGAAGACCTAATGACCCGAACGCTTGCAACTACGTGACAGGCGCATGGGGTAAGGTGGAGCCATTAATGGATTTCATGCTCTCTGGGTATGTTCGCGGTGCCTTTAAGCGTAGGAAGGAGTCTCTCTCCCCAAGCCCCAACCCCTCGCTCTTGTATAATCACTGCCCGCAAGCCCGAATCCCTGTTCTTACTTACACTCTTCACTCTACGTAAACCCTACACTCTTGACTCGTAACCCTACGTCCGAATCACACCCCAAAACCTTGTCGTACCATTGGTTAATTTGGAATAAGGGAATATGATCCCTATATAACCTCGATATACCCTTTTCCCTTATTCCATACCCTAAAGCCCAAACCCTATATATTCCTGTACGCACTACTCTAACACAGTAACTTATCAGACAACACTTTCAACTGAAGCATTCCTGTGACCAGCTCTCCAGGAGATCCTTTTGGCTCCGAATCTCCTGAGCTGGGTGGAGAGAATTCGAAGATAAGGGTTAAGGGTATAGGGTTTAGGGTTCAGGGCTCCCTTTCCTAGGGTTTAGGGTTTAGGATTTGGGGCTCCCTTTCCTAGGGCTTAAGGTTTAGGGCGCCCTTTCCTAAGGTTCAGGGTCTAGGGTTTAGGGCTCCCTTGCCTTAAGATGGGACGGTAACACGGAGTTTAGGGTTTAGGGTAAGGGTTTAGGCCGTTGAGGGAGCCAGAAAAGGGGAAGCAACAGCGCAGACATGGAAGGATATAACTGTATCATACACCCTTCTCAGCCAGTGGATTCTTTCTGAGGGTTTAGGGTTTAGGGTGTATTCTGATTGGCGAAACTTTCATCTCTCGCAATCTCCTGGAAGCCCTAAACCCTCAACCTGCAACCCGCAACTCGAGATTCTACACCTTCAGCGCTAACCCGAAACACCGTTAGCCTCCACCAAATCACACAAAGCTACCTTAGGTGAACCCCCCCCCCCACCCAGTAATAGTGACTACAAGGGATACTAATGATCAGTCCTGTTATACCTCCTAAACCCTAAACCCTAAACCCCAGACCCTTTTGCAGGCTGGCTGGTCCACCTGACAGCTACCCTACAAAAGCCAACGTCAAATTTTTCATCCCAGTAATCACAACATTAAACTGTTGAACTACTTATACCTTGGTTAGTACTAACAATAAATAAATGAATCAAGTTTCTAAAAAAAAACTATCTGGGGCTCCGTATTAGCCAGCTGGAGGGCAATTTTTACTTAGACAACGAGTATCCTCAACACTTACACCCTCACCTCTGAACCCGCACAGCTAACCTAAAACCATGAGACCCAGTCCTTAAACTCTAAACCCAAACCTTAAACCCTAAACCCCAAACCCTAAATCCTAAACCCTAAACCCTAAATCCTAAACCCTAAACCCTAAACCCTAAACCAACTCATGGCCAGGGCTGCCAATCTACATTCGTGGGTGGTGCTTGGGGTTTGGGGGCTTAGGGTACTGGGTTGCTGATAAGGAACTTAAATTAAGTTACCATAATGGGTACATAAAGTAAATAATAGGGTTTCCCAATACAGTAACTTAATTTAAGTTCCTTAACAGCAACCCAGGGTAGGGATGTCAAGCGCACCCTCATGGCCCTGCACTATACATCAAATAGCGTATCTGACTATCAGGGGCCGCAAGAACGGGTCCATAATTTTGAGGAACCCTGACTACCATCCTTAAATACTCACGGTACGCCGACAACATCCCGGATTATTTCTACACATCCCTCTCATGAGCCCAACTACTGCTCCGAAACAAGTGTAGAACTTTGAGGAACGCAACACCCCATAGATCCCTAGATATCTCCTGTATTCCTTTGAGACTCCTGAAAACCCCAAAAAAGATGCTAAACCCTCAGCTCTTGATCCTGCGCCACAAAGCAACCTTCAACAGCCTTGGCAGGAGCCTCCTGAAATTCCAGCCCAAAACAATGTAACTATGTTGTTGACCCAGATACGCAGATTAGGTTTGCGCGGTTTGGCAGCCCCGCACGACGTGTGGTGGCTCAAGGTATGAGATGACAAGCATAATCAAGCCATATGAGCTATAGTCTAAACTCCTAGTATCCCCGTTAATTACCCCTACAGTAGTCCCCTATATAATCCCCCATATAACCCCCGTTTAAGGAGTTTAGACTATAGTACATATAGCAGCATGTCGCACAGAACGAAGCACTTAGAGCCAACTTGTGGCCTAGCAATCTTTGATCCAGCGCCGCATCACAGCGCACCCCGAATCCTAAACTTCAAGCCCCCGACGCGAAACCCCAATCCCAAACCCTATTGAAGCCCTACCCCTACCTAAACCCTAAAAGCACGTAAAATAATAGCCCTAAACCCATAATGACAGCCCTAAAGGCCATTATTTTACATACTTTTGGGGTCCAGGTAAACCTGATTGCAACAAGAATGCTCATAGCAATAATAACACGAGTAACAATAATAAGAATATGAATAATAATCATACTGAGTATACTAATAATACTACCAAGAATATTAAGAACAAGAACATTAGTGATACTAATTTTTCAACGCTACTAAGAAGAGGACAAAGGTGATCATAGTGATAGCATTGCCAGGGCACCAAGCCAGACCCAAACCAGCTTCAAAGCGACCTTCGTGGGAAAGGAGCGCACCTGAATCGAGGAAACTTCAGGTAAAGGTTAGGGTTCGGGGTTTGCAGGGCTAAGGGCATAGGGTTAAGGGGGTAGGGTTAAGGCCTTGGGTCTAGGGTTTATGACCCACACTGTAGGGTTGGGATGCAGGGTTTAGGGCATAGGGCTTTGGATTTAACTGTTTGAACAGAAGCTGCTTTTGGATTTCCCTTCTCCTTACTCTTGACTGGATGGGAATGGAGGAGTGGAAAGGAACATTCATTGGGGGTTGGGGTTTCTGGTTTGATTGGGAAGGGGGGAAAGGGTTTAAAGCGTTGGAAAGAATATTAAGGAGGGTGTTTGGGGACTACTATTTGGATCCCGTTCCCCCGTTACCTTTGCATAGGTTTTGTAGGTTTGGGGCTTGGCATTCTTAACCAGGATCCTTTGTGACTCAGGAATTGAAAGAGACCTATTTGCTATTGTATAATCTACTTCTGTAAGAATCTAGGGAACAAACCCAGAAACCGCGAAAAAGAGGTGTATTGCATGGGCGCCTAGTCAGGAGTCCACGAATACAAGGCAAGAAAGTCTAGCAGATGTTTTCAGCTATTCTTATTCTTACGACTTAACTTTCCTTTGTTATTTACCTTTACAATTACTATTGCTGATACTAGTACTATTAATGTAGCATAATGACGTGAGGATTCTGTACAAATTTCGTTTGCCAATGGAGTTGACAACAAAAGGTCGTGTCACGATTATTCCGTGTGGGGTCCAAACAAAGTCAAAAAGTAAGCCATCATACAACCCAAGCTCTAAACTCGAAAGCCTAAAACCTGAAGTCGAAACCCTTGAGCACAAACACTAGCCCCCCCCCCAAACTCGAAAAACAAAACTTAGCTCAGCAGTATAGTCCCAGTTGTCATTTCATGTCCAATTATTGTACCCCTAAATCCTTGTCTAAAATCAAGGTTAGAGCCGACCTTTGAAGTCTGTTTGCACCAGCATCTGAAAGCAGGTGTACGATCTCCACGTGGCCCTTCTTAGCTGCAAGCGTGAGAGCTGTGTCGCCAGAGCAACACTGCAGGTCTTTGTCAGCACCAGCATCCAACAGCAGCCGTGCAATCTCCACATGGCCTTTCTGAGCTGCGAGCACGAGGGCGGAGTAACCGTCTCGACTCTGCAGGTTTTTGTCAGCACCGGCTTCTGAAAGCAGCCGTGCAATCTCCACGTGGCCATTGTCAGCTGCGAACGCGAGGGCTGTGTGGCCAAAAAAGCTATGCTGCAGGTCCTTGTCAGCGCCAACCCCCAAAAGCAGCCGTACGATCTCCAGGCGGCCCTTCACAGCTGCGAGCGCGAGAGCTGTGTAGCCAGAGCAACACTCGAGCTCCTTGTCAGCGCCAGCGTCCAAAAGCAGCTGCGCAACCTTTACGTGGCCCTGCCTAGCTGCGACCGTGAGAGCTGTGTAGCCAGAGTGCCCCCGCAGGTCTTTGTCAGCACCGGCGTCCAAAAGCAGCCGAGCAATCCCCACGTGGCCTTGCTTAGCTGCGAGCAAGAGGGCGGAGTAACCGTCTAGACCCTGCGGGGCTTTGTCAGCACCAGCTTCTAAAAGCAGCCGTGCAATCTCCTCGTGGCCATTCTCAGACGCGCGCGTGAGGGCTGTGTTGCCCCTGTCATCCTGCAGGTCTTTGTCAGCACCAGCATCCAAAAGTAGACGTACAATCTCCACGCGGCCGTTCTCAGCTGCGACCATGAGGGCTGTTTGGCGAGAAAAGAAACCCTGCAGGTCTTTGTCAGCACCAGCGTCCAAAAGCAGCCGTGCGATGTCCACGTGGCCTGTCTCAGCTGCGAGCGTGAGAGCTGTGTTGCCATAGTGCCCCCGCAGGTCTTTGTCAGCCCTGGCGTCCAGAAGCAGCCGCGCCATCTCCACGTGGCCACTCCAAGCTGTGCGCATGAGGGCTGTGTTGCCCCTGTGATCCTTAGCGTTCTTGTTAGCACCAGCTTCTAAAAGCAGCCTGGCGATCTCCAGGTCACCTTGCAGGCAAGATTCGGAAAGCTCTTTTGCAGCCTCAACCTGCTGCGCCTCGGTGGAAAGGGCAGACAGGAGAATTAATTGTAGGTCGATGGGAGCATCCAGCTCGGTGGAATCGTCCAAGCTGTTGCCTTTGTGCAGCAACTGTTGCATGCATATTGGGAAGCCATGTTGACTTCGTAGTGACGCCTTCAAACCCCACACGTTCTCAATCTCCTCCACGCTAACCGCAGGCAGTTCCTGACCTGACATCCGCCATATGCGAAGCATTCTTGCAAGAAGGCTCAACAGCGAATCGTGAGCCACATCTACGCTTGTGTGCTATGGTTGCGCAACACATTAAAAACCCATGTCAACAAGTGCATCGCTGGAATGACTGCCACGTTCTGTTGACGCACTGCGGTTGAGCATTGGCGTGACAAGGCAATGCTGGGAACGTGCTATGCGCATGATGCTGGCACCTTCAATCCCGGTTCCTGAGCCGAAGGGGGCTGAGGCACGAAAGCAGGCTCTCAAAAGAACCCCGCACAAATCATCACTTTTCTCAGAACATGGCCTCAAAGTCCACAACCTTTAAAGAAAGGGTTGTTGGAAGCTTGGAACTTGTCAGGGCGAGGTGGTGTTGCCACTTGAGGCTGTTGGCTCTTCAAAGTTCAGGATTCGGGGCTCTGGAGAGTTGAAGGTAAGGGTTCAGGGCTTGGGGGTTAGGAGTTAGGGGTTTGAGGTTTAGGGTTAAGGGTTCAGTTTAAAGGTTTATGATGTAGAGTTCAAGGTCTAGAGGTGTAGCTTTCTTCGAGCTTTGCTGTTTAGCCATGCGACTGTCCTTGCTAACCCTGAACCCTGCTCCTGTGCCCCCAAAAGAACGTTCAACCCCCCCGCCCCACACTTAGGTTCGTTGGATTTTGCATTACCCCCACCTCATCACCCCTACAGAAACAAGATTGATGCGAAGGGTCTCCGGGGCTCATTTAACCCTCGTCTTGGCGTGGGGAGGAGTGACTATGAAATCCTATGAACCCTAAACCCTAACCCCCAAGCCTATGATAGCCCACAGCAAGGATGAGTTGCAGAGGCCGCCAGTGCACTTTGTCCAGAAAAGCATGGCTCATGCCAAACCTATCCCTATGGGTCCAGTATGCACTAATCATATACGTTTGGATTCTTCTGAAGCGTTAGTAAGGTTTTGGGGAAAATATAATAGTTATATATACTTTGGACCCCCGGGGTACCACACCGAAACAGAATTCGGATGTAACTTCCGCAACAGAATCATGTCCATGAAGCCCATTTCGTACAAATCACCAAAGAAAGACCAGCCAATCCTGAAGCTGAAGCCAGAGGCCCTGAAGAACCCCAACCTCAAATTAAACACCACAACCCACCCTAAACGACCCAAACCAACACACTGTTCACTTTGAGATGTGAAGCCCTGAGCCCTAAACCCTCAGCCCAAAAAATTCTCTAAACCCTAAAGCCTAAAAATCCTAAGACCCATAAATCCTATACCCCCTGCAACCAGAAACTCGATTTGGGCACACGGGAGCGTGGATTCGCGCACATCTTTGCGGCATCTGCTTCCTGCGTGAGAAGACAAACCGAACATCTCAGAGTTCAAAATCTTAGAACTATGGGTTTTATATGGGGTATATAGGAGCTTTATAAGGGGCATATAGGGGTTATATAGGGATAATGGAAAAGAAAATGGAACCTACTATTTAGGGTTTAGGGTTTCCAAAATTAGGGGTACCATTTTGGGTATCCATAATACGGGCTGTAGGATTTTGCGGTCTATGTTGGGGTTCCTTTATTTAGGGCAAGTACAAATATATGGTTTAGGGTAAGAGTGTTTTTTTTTGTCTAGTCTTTTTTGTTGTTTGGGCTTTTCGGGTGTTATGTTTTTTGCTTTTTGGGCAGGGGCGTGCTTATTTTGTTGCTGTTTGGGCGGGGGGCGTTTGTTTTTTTGCTGTTTGGGCCGGGTGACGTTTTTTTTTTGCTGTTTGGGCGGGGGGCGTGTTTTTTTTGCTGTTTGGGCCGGG